TTGAAAATGAGAAAACTAGGTCTAAACTGTATATTTAATTATAAAGAAGCATGGAAATAAAAACAATTAAAAGTAATTTTGTAGGACATGCACTATTTGATTTCATGACTTGCTATAAAGCTTCAATAATCTATAAAATATGATATTTGCATAGAAAATAGAGTTCAGAAATAGATATACTCAGTTTGGGCAATTGCTTTTTGACAAAGATGCCGAAGTAGTAAAAAAGACAGATCTTTTCAGTCAAATGGTACTACAACAATGGGATACACCAATGTATTTTATTTTTTAAAAAAAATCTTTAAATTAATACCATACAAAATATCAATTCAATATGCATTAGAAACTTTGACCTTAAATTTAAAAAAACTATAAAGCTGCTGCAAAAGATATAGGAGAAAATCTTTGTACTCTTGGAGAAAAATATTCTTAGATGAAACACAAAAATCTGCACAAAGCCTTAAAAGTCAGCTGCTACTGAATTTAAATTTTCTTCTCTTCAGGTGATAACTAACTTGAAAGTGAAACAAAACTTTATATACTTGGAACCTCTGATACATAGCAGAAACTTTAATACTTCCATACGGAAAGATGAATAGTGACACAGGATATAGATTCAGCATGACAAAAGAATGTGATAAGAAAAACTTCGATGCTGGTCAATGTATACCTGGTCCAAGTTGCAGGATGGTCAAGGAAATGAAATCAACTAGATGCTAATCATCTGCCAAGTTTCAAAAGGTGACAGCATGGAAAACTCTGGCAATAGAACAGTCTTCTGAAATTCTGGTTCCAGAGAGCAATTAATTTTCACTCTTCGGGTCCCTGGATTTAGAAGGCTGAATGTTATACAGTCTGTTCAGTTCAGATTCAGATACCACTGAAAATACATGGTTGCTTGCATCAGAATCTGTGCTTAAGGTTCCAGAAATAGAAAACAATATCAACATCATAGGACTTGATGCTGAGTCACCTGACTACTGCAACAAGATGCCTCTATATACTATGGACAGTCATATACTTCTACCTAGAGGCTAGCAAGTGGCATTTGGCAAGTTTTATAGAAAATGTCCATATCCATTTATTGTTGAAATTGAATTACACTAGAGGAAACAGTTATCCGTTGATTAACTAAGTAAAATACTTTGGGGAGGGGGTTATTTTTGTCCTGGGGCCACACCTAGTGATGCTTAGTGACTCCTGGCTTTGCATTCAGGACTTGGTCCTGGGAGGCTGAGGGGACCATATGGGATGCTGGAGATCAAACCCAGGTCACAGTGTGCAAGGCAAATGCATCCCATCCCACAAAAGCCTTGCCTTATAGTGACCCTTCTGTTATTTATCTTTCCAGATTTTTAAGTGTTAAAATTTTGGAATTTCAAAATCGTGCGGCCACTACTGCAGCCATGCGACATCATATGTTATTCTTAACCAGAAATTGAAAATAAATTGTCTAGTGTTGCCTTTTCAGCAGATCTGAGTCTTGGGATAAAATCCCAAATAATAATGGTGGGTCTGGTGTCAAAATATTGAATGTGATCAAAGTAGAGTGAGTGATGTGAAAATCATCTGCCCCACAGGTAGGGGGAGGGCGTTGCATGGGGGTATACTGGGGTTTTTGGTGGTGGAGAATGGGCATTGGTGAAGGTATGGGTGTTTCATTGTATGAGTGAGACTTAAACCCAAAAGCTTTGTAACTGCTGTCACAGCAATTCAATAAATAAAATTATAAAAAATGAAAAAAACGTAAGGTAGAGTTCATGCCCATTTCAATCAGCTTAATCATTGGCTGAATAAATAGCAGTACTCCTACATAAAAAAAAATAAAGAAAAACTTCGGAGCAGATTTGATAAGACAGCTTTGTAAAATATGCTCACCCCTCATCTTTACTCCAAGAATAAGATTTGCAATAAAGTTTAGGGATAAGGCTGAAAACAGAATGAAACTCTGAGTAGGAGAAGAACTTTACAAGAGTGGCTGAGGTAGGCAAAGAAGGCGATGTTGAGGTCATTTTTCACCCTGAAACGCATGGATCTAGACATGAAATAGGATGTTTGAAGTTATCTCTGTCCTCTAAGGAAAAGAAGGGAGAAGCATTTATCATTCAGTCTGTCAAGCAGTTAGGGGAGGAATGAAGGAAGTAGGCAAAACTCCAATTCATGGACCAGAGAAATAGTACAGCCAGTAGATAGTACTGCCTTGGATGCAGCCAACTGGGATTTGATCCCCAGCACCCAGTATGGGTCTCTGAGAATAGCCAAGAGTGATCCCTGAGTGCAGAGCCAGATGTATGCTGTGTGCATTGCTGGTTGTGGCCAAAAAATCTGATCCAGAAAAAAGACCATTCCTTTCACAGTAAAGATTTTCTTTTGTTTGCTATCCTCCATTGTCATTCTCAGATCCTTGCTTGTGACCCAGAAGACAAGTTCAAATGACCACAGCTGCCAGCGTGGGAGGGGCTGGAGAAAACCTGTGGAATCAGGACATGTGACTGAAGCCATTGGAAGTTAAATGAGCAGCACATTCCGAATCAGGTAATACTCCTCCCCACCAAGTAACAACTGTTACCCACACCCAGTACTCACTTTCAGATAATTATGCCTAACAGAAAATTATGAACCCATGAGTTCCCAATGCTTTTTTCAAAAGGCAGAAGTCTAGAATTAGCCTCCAAGTTTTTGAATTTGAATGGTAGGCAGCCATGCAGCTTTGTTTTCTAAAAAAAAATCACAACATGCATGGCAAACAACACTTGTCCAAAGCTGATACTGGGTTCTAACAATAGATGATTTGTAAAGAAAAATAGGTATTTACGGAGCACTAAAATTCATGGATGAATTTACTCAGTATGTATGCTATATATGTTTTCACTATTTCACTTCATTTTGTTTGGGTTTACATTGGAGTCTCATCTGGATTGCTCAGGGATCACTCCTGGCAGGCAAAGTAGCATATGGAGTGCTGAGGATTGAACTCAGGTCAGCCATGTGCTGGGCAAACACCCTGTGTATTGGCTGTAGTATCTCTCCTGCCCCTTCCCTATTTAACTCTTCCCTAGGTTTGCACAAGTTTTTCTGGCCCCTTGTTCCTTGCTATTCAATATGCAGTGTTCCATTGACCTTCTAAAACAGGAAGAGCACCTGAACTATTCATAATAAAGAGATTCAACCAGTTCATCACACAGGATCCATGCATCCCACTGCCGGTCACAGAAATGACAGTTTAATTTGGCATATTCACCTAAATCTGGAGAAAGGCAGCTCAGGAGACATATTCCAGTTAAAGTTGTGAAAAATTTCAATTCAACAACTAAATGTTACAGAGACTTTTCAAAAGAAAAAAGTTCAAATTTTTGCTGGTGGAGTACTTTCAAAAAATAAACACCAAACTGATGTATACTTGCCTAAAGTGTTTTTCAAAAATGGTTTTTTTTTAAATTTCTTTTATAAATTAACACTGTGGCTGGTTCTGGTTTCAGAGTGACACTGGCCTGGGTCTCTGCTAAATGATTTTTCTACCAAAAGATGACACCGAACACTGCTGTGTGATGGCAGGAAGGTCAAAAAATGGAGAGAAGGCCAGAATACACCATGAATAGGTACAGAGCTATCTGACAAACAGATTGCATGCAGGATAAAATCCAGGTCTTAGTTCAAACAGGCTTGGTTTGGTTTGTAAATCTTTATATGCCTCAGATGACACAACTGAAACGGTTTAAAATCAATATGAACTTACTTCATATTCATACTCATTTGAGAGAAGCGAGCCAATTTTCCTGGTTCACTGGAGAAAGAGTCTAGGGGTTTTCACAATAGAGAAAGAAGTTGCTTTTAGTCCAGACGGAGCTTTCAAGCTTCAAGGGCAGCATCTGGACCGCAAAGGATTTGCTAGTCCTAAAGTACTATTAACCAGAGAGAGTAAACATGTTTCAGGACAGAACTCCAAAGATGAAACACCGCCAAGCCAGCTGCCTCTGGAGTCTGTAATTCCAGCCTTCCAGGCTGAGGACTGGAGTGCTCACAGATTTCCAAGCAAATCCCTGCAAAGAAGAGGAATCAGTGAGAAGTGACTTGCATTTGAGTGTAAAAGTGTGTGACGGTGGAGAGAGTGAGAGAGAGAGAGAGAGAGAGAGAGAGAATGCGTGTGAGAGAGGAAGAGAGAGGGGGAAAAGGAGAGGGAGGGGGAGAGAGAGGCTAGAGAGAAAGTGAGAGAGTTCGTTCTCATTAGGAGAGGCTCTATGATGTGACAGGCAGGCTGCTCCTGCTGCTGCGGCTGGATGGTCTGTCATTAGTTGAAAAGGACTGTGAGGGTGTGAGGAACTGCTGGTCTGAAGACTGAGCACTGCTAACGGGTCTACCTGCCAAAGAGATTTGATGAGATTTTTCTGTGGGATTGGAAACTTGGAGTTATTACTGCCTCATCCACTGGTAAACGCAGGCAGCGCTACAAAATAAAAGGTAAGAGAGGAAAATTGTTCTCTTTGGGGGGTGAAGGGCTGGGGGGCTAATGGGGATGTAATCTCAAAGACTTGCAATTTTGAAGGGATGGGACCCTCTGAGGGTAAAGGCAAAGGCTAAAATGCTTAGCGAGCTTAATCGAGGGTTTTTTTCCCCCCTGCCTGCTTGCATTTTTCTTTATTACACTTTGCTGAAGCATTTGAAACATTTCTTTGTATTTCTTTTTCCCAGTGCATATATTGCTTAGATTTTCACACTGGGGAATCTTTGAGAGTGGGGTCTTCTTTTCTGTTCGGAAGCAAGAAACAGGTCTCTTTTAACTATGCTGGCCAAAACAGTTACTGCTTGATGCTCGAGTTGCAGTGAAAAAGAGTTTGCAGTAGTACACAGGAGCCCTAGCACTGCAGAAAACTGAGAGGTGAAAGGAGAAAAGAGATTTACCTGCATCTCGGACTTGGCCAGACATGGGGACAGTATGAATGAATGTGGTCTTTACCTGTTGTAACTGTTCACAGGGAGGCAGCCCACTCTGAAAAAGGCTCTGGAGAGAAGATGTTCTAAGTAGCATTTCAGAGAAACTTTGAGTCACTAAAGATGGATAATGAGACAGTAACTGAACTGAACCAAACAGAACTTCAGCCACGTGCCGCAGTGACCTTAGAATACCAAGTGGTCACCATCTCACTCGTGCTCGTTATCTGTGGTCTGGGCATTGTAGGAAATGTCATGGTAGTCCTGGTGGTCATGAGAACCAAGCACATGAGGACCCCCACAAACTGTTACTTGGTGAGTCTGGCAGTGGCTGATCTCATGGTCCTGGTGGCCGCCGGCCTCCCCAACATCACGGAGAGTATCTATGGTTCCTGGGTCTATGGGTATGTTGGATGCCTTTGCATTACTTACCTCCAATACTTGGGCATTAATGCATCCTCGTGTTCCATCACAGCCTTTACCGTTGAGAGGTACATAGCAATCTGTCACCCCATCAAAGCCCAGTTTCTCTGCACGTTTTCCAGAGCCAAAAAGATCATCATTTTTGTGTGGGCTTTCACATCTGTTTACTGCATGCTCTGGTTCTTCTTACTGGATCTCAATATCAATACCTATAAAGATGCTATCGTGGTGTCCTGTGGCTACAAGATCTCCAGGAACTACTACTCACCTATTTACCTGATGGATTTTGGCATCTTTTACGTTGTGCCAATGATCCTGGCCACTGTTCTCTATGGGTTTATAGCTAGGATCCTCTTCTTAAATCCCATTCCTTCTGATCCTAAAGAAAACTCTAAGACTTGGAAAAATGACTCAAACCATCAGAACAAGAACTTGAATTCAAAGACCTCTAATCGATGTTTCAACAGCACAATATCATCCCGGAAGCAGGTAAGTAAACTGAGGCTCCTTAAGGGCACAGAGGAAATGTAGGCTAGAGTTCTTTGTGAAGCGGGGTTCCATGGTGCAATGGTTAGCACTCTGGACTCTTGAGTTCTTTATGAGATGGAATCAGCTTTGCCCTACTTAGCAGAGACCAGAAGCAAAATACAATCATGCAAATGTGTCCCACTGTAAGCTTCTGCTTTACATATTAAATCCATCTCTAAAGCAACTGATGATCTAAAAGTGGATCTGTAAAAAAAAAAGTGATAGCACAGGGGCTGCTTAGATAGTATAGCAGGTAGAACACTTGCCTTGCCCATGGCCAATCCAGGTTCGATCCCCAGCGTCCCATATGTCTCCCTGAGCACCATGTGGAGTAATTCCAGAGCGCAGAGTCAGGAGTAACTCCTGACATCACCAAGTGGTCCCCACAAAAAAAAAGTGATATTATATACATAGGCACCAGTGCAGATGCCACTGAAATGTAAGGGCACAAACCAAACTTTAAAATTTTTGTGACTTCCTGGAAGAGTAATTTAGACCATCTCTGAGTGCTGTAGGGAACACCTGGGTATCTTTAGGAATTTGGTTGCAGAACAAAGATTTGATAAAATAGTTTGAGAAAAGATAAGCCCAAATAATAATGAACTATGCATTAACATTCTAGAGTGTCACAAGACACTTAACACAGAAGAGTTTCTGCATTTATTTGTTTAGTCTTCCTAAGGAAAGAGTCCATCTGCCTCTTCCATAGCTCCCTGCAAAGTGGCCCAGCTTGCAAAAGCTGAAAATGCAATTGCTTTAGGAAATGTTCTAATAAAAAGACCAATACCAAGCTCATTTTTTTATGAAGAATGATTGAAAGTTTTGAAATGTCTGTTTTCTCCAGCTAAGTATAACCAAAAATTCCTTTAAGCTTTCAGATCACCCTAATGCACTGGGGTTAAGTAGACTAGTGGTTTTATTAGTGAATTATATGCCTCTTTTCTATAGCAGATATGGTTTATAAGAGGTGCATTTTTCTGTTTTTATACAATTGCTCATAAGCACATTAGTCAATTTTCCACAAAATGTCTCTTTCTTATGGTTTTACCTTTCAGCTCTTTTTCCTTCTTTGCTAAATGAAATAAACATGTGGAAATAATTATTCTCCTTGCTGAAAAAGAATCTGACAAAAATTGTTGAAATCAATAATATTGGGTTTTATTTTTTTCAAGTGAGTTGCATTTTCCATTTTTATTTCTGGAAGGAGTACAGTTCTTTCTATGTATTTAGTTAGAGACCAAGTTTTAAAGTTTGCATGTGGATTATCCATGCTATTATTCCCAAACTCTAGATTACTGAAATATGAATAATTGTAGCTGGACAGATGGGCATATGGTGGAATAAACTGGGAATGGAGGTGTTTTATATATCCATGAAGTGAATAATGAAATATAGCTAAAAAAAGAAATATGTACAGAATTTTTAACTGATGCAGTATTACTTGATTTATATACTTTGTTATTAAAAGTACCTAGATGGTGGAAAGAAAATACCTGAACAAGTATTTCCAGCTCTGAGTTTTCTATTGCTTTGGGTTTAGGCAGTAGTACCTAACGCAAATTACATCTGGCTATTTATTTCTCAAAAATTGATTGTGGGAAATATAGAGACCTGCCAAGATAAGCATTAAATAATAAAATATTAGTAAAAGAATATATGCATTAAATTAGAGATTAAACATAGGTTAATGTTTGCAACAAAGAAGGTCAAGGAATCAATTCATTCTGTTAGTCTTTGATCTATATTATGCTAATTCTTAATGTTTGCCTGGTTTAATGTCCTTTCTATCCATAATAGTCATTAGTATCTATCAGCATTAATAATGTTATTTAAATAACTAATTACATTACATGTCCACACTCTTGTTTCAAGGCTCTTACAGATAGGCTGCCTTTGAAATCAAAGTCAAAGAGCTGGCTCCTAAGTCTCTGGACTTTACTGCCAGGATCCTACCCACGCAGTGTGGCCTGGGTAATTATAACTCCATGTCTTATCTTTTTGCTCATCTATGAAATGAGAATAAAGAGAAATACGCAGGATAGCCATAAAGTTCAATGAAATGTCTGATGAGACACACCTAGAGTGATGATTAACAAACATTTGAGTGTCAGTGAGCCTCTTATCAACTTTTTAATATATGGAAAATGTGAGAGAAAAACAGATTTATTCTTACAAATATACTCACTGGTCAAACTGATCATTTGTTGAATGGTTGTGTTTATCGCCTGGTAACTTCTCCAGGGACATTTTTAGGAGGGCATTTGGAAACATACAGAGCACTTGGGGATGTCACAGTAACATCAATGGCAACAGAGAAGAGCAATGGAAGCCAGGCCTATCTGACAATTCACAGGACAGGCCTGCAGAGTAAGAGCATTTCTCAATAATGCCCTCTCTGAGAAACAGAGACAACACATAAACCCATAGAAGTACATTTAAGTAATAAGTTGTGTAAGTCAGTCTGGATTAGGGATGGATTGAAAGCTCAGAAGAAAAATAAGCGGGAGAAATTACAGGTTGCAAGGATGAGAAAGCTTCATGGAAAAGATGATATTTGAGAAGATTCTGAATGGATGAGATAATTTAGGAAGTAAAAGTCAAGAGAGAGAGCACTCCATAAGAGAAGGATGTACCTAGTCTAAGAAGGATGGAGGACTGAATAGGGGGAAGGAAGAGCCCATAGTGGAGGCATATCTATAGTATGGAGTATTTGAGTGACTTAAATAAATGACGTAAAGTGTGTTTTTGTGTGTGAGAGAGAAAGAGAGAGTGTGTGCATGACAAAAAGAATGTATGTGTGAGAGAGTGTGTAAGTCTGTGTGTGAGAGTATGTGTGAGATATAGAGAGAGAATGTGTATGTGTGAGAGAGTGACTGTGTGTGAGAGAGTGTTAGAGAATTTGTGTGAGAGTAAGAGAGTATCTATATGCTTTTGTAAGAAAAGGAGATAAAGGATTGTGGAGAGAACCATCGTCAGAGGCATTTGGTCTTTGTGTAGAAATAACAGGAATGTGAGCAGAGAGCAGGCGACCTACTTGGGAATATTGGTAGTGATTTTGACATGAGGTCATCAAATTGTCATTGGGAAAAAATTTAATGATGTGAGACAGTGAGATTTTTCCAAAGAAACAATAATTGGGATGGGAACCTATTGACTCAGAGGATGAAGAGAGGACAGTTCAATATGGGGACTGGCTTCTGAGTCTGAAAGATGGGCAGTGCACCTGGTGAATGGGACTTAGAACCAGAACCCACAGCCATTTGATTCCAAATCAGTCACCTTTGATTTGGTTTTTCCCTCTTCTAAATTATATATTTTCTTTTTTCTTCTTCTTTTTAAATTTTTTTAAAAAATAAATCACCATGAGATGTAGTTACAAAGTTGTTCATGATTTTCAGTCATACAATGTTCCAACACCTGTCCTTTGACCAGTGTACATTTCCCATCATCAATGCCCCCAGTACCCTTCTTCCTGCCCCTCCTGAAGCCTGCCTCTATGACAGACACTTTTCTTCTCTCTCTCTCTCTCAATCTCTCTTTCTCTCTCTTTTCCTCTCCCCTCCTCTCTCTCTTCTCCTCTCTCTTCTCTCCCCCCACACCTCTTTTCCTTTTAGGTACTGTGGTTTATAATAATAGCTCTTTTCTTTGATCTTCAAAGGGTTCAAAATTCTACCTACTATAGCCCAAGGACATTTATTTTAATATTTTTGTGCACTTTTTTTAGGAGACTTTAATTTACATTTTAATGAATACTGTCTAGGACAGGTCTTCCTAAGCAAGTTATTAAAGCCAAATGGGCATAACCTAAAAGAACATTTTAAAAAAGTTAAAAAGAGTATCATATGTAAAGGCCAAATGTGGGGATTTTACTAGGTTTTTTTTTAATTTACAACTAACTGATAGAATGAAATTTTGCATTGCAATTGGCTCTTTTGACCCTAAGGAGACACACTTTAAACAATGACCTTTGTCACATTTCAGCTCTAGCTATGTAATGCCTGAGGAGTCTCTTCCTTACATCAATTCAGGTACTCAGCACTAAGTATCCAAGGAGAGGGATAAGACTGCTGTCAACTTCTCCAAGCCTCAGTTTTCTCATTAATAAAGTCAGAGAAGCAATAACCTGACAGACTTGTGGTCAAAATCAATTGAAATGGATCAGAAAAAATTCATCTTCTCTCTTGACCCACCTGCCCCTTCCCTCACACCTGCCCTGCTCCCCAGCCCCAACATCTTGACTTCTTCTTTAGTTACCTCCAGTGGGAAAAGAAAAATGAAGACCACAGCATAAGAGTTAAAATCTGTCTTCTTTCTCTGTCTTCTTCCCTCCAATTCCAATCCTGACTCCAATACTATTAACTTTTTAGCTATTTTATTTTACCCATTTACCATTCATTTGTTGTTTATTTTTCTTGTGGGCAGGGATCAAATTAATGTCTCAGACATGCAAGTTACATGCTTTACTGTTGAGCTACAATTTTTCACTTTTTATTTAATTTTTTTTTTTGCTTTTTGGGTCACACCTGGCGATGCACAGGGGTTATTCCTGGCTCATACACTCAGTAATTACTCCTGGCGGTGCTCGGGGGACCATATGGGATGCTGGGAATCGAACCTGGGTCGGCTGTGTCCAAGGCAAACACCCTACCCGCTGTGCTATCGCTTTAGCCCCCAATTTTCACTTTTTTATTTAATTAATTAATCAATTAATTTTTCTTTTGGGGTTCACACCCAGCAATGTTCAGGAGTTATTCCTGTCTCTGTACTCTAAGGAATCACTCCTGGCAGTGCTTGGGGAATTGTATGGGACGCTGGGGATGGAACCCAGTTTGGCCGAGTGCAAGGCAAACTCCATACCCGTTGTATTATTGCTCCAATCCCAGTTTTTACTTTATAAACAAGAAATCTTGAATAAGGAAGACCTTTAATACACAAGAAAAAGAGTCATAATGATGAAATGT